CTCATCTGTTCTGGGCACTTGAGTTGTTTCCAGATCTTGGCTATTGTAAACAGCAGAACTTCTATAAAGTTCAAAGTGCAAATACCTTTTCTGATTACTGTTTTTGTGCTCTTGGGGTAGATGCCAAGAACTGGAATCACTCCTTGGTTCACATGTAAGCTCTGAGAGTCCTTAAACTTTCCCAGAAGTTCAATATTCCCATGCACAATTATTCCCTCTAGAATGTTAGACATGGAAAGTTACTGCAAACCCAATGCTAAAATCTAACATCAATATTAAATAACAATGTAAAATAACAAAATATTTTAATACCATTGTAAAGCTGCTAAATAAATGCCTTAAAAAGATTTGACAGTGGCTAAGCCAAAGAACACTCAAGACAGAATCCTTTCTTTAATGCAAGGTAGGATTTATTTTAGGAACTCAATTATAGTTTAATAGTGGGAAAAATTACATAGTCACCTCCATAGGCACCAAAATGATGTTTGATCACATATCTTTCAAAGATCTAATGTATTGAGACACACAAATGAATCTCGGACACGAGCAACTTGCTGCAGAGATGGCCTGGGACTTTGCAATAGGTATTTTCTGCTGCTGTTCCAGACGGGGGCAGGTATTGTCCCTCCGCCTGCCTTCTAGGAGCTCCAGTGGTCGCCATTTTCTAGAAGTCAGCAAGACACTCCAGGTACAAGTGATGGTGACGGCAAATCCCAAGTCTCACGGGATAGGGGAGGAGTGGGTCCTTCTCCTTCCCCACTCCCCGATGGGACTCCGAGATGATGCCACATCTGCCCACTGTCTACTTAAGCTCCCACACGACCATGATCCAGAGACACACAAATGAATCTCGGACCCGAGCAACTTGCTGCAGGGATTTCTTCATACCCTAATATTAAAATCTTAGAATTCCTACATGACATTATATAATATCCATAGCAAGCAGTACAAAACACACTGTCTAGCATTGCATTTTTGGCAGGTATGAGAGGTGGTAGGACTGGTTTCAAAATATCGAAGGTAACTAAAGTAGAGAAAGAGTATTTTGCAAAGTGTCTGCCATATGGGCAGGGGGAGGTACGGAATGGCGGAGGGGATACTGGGGATTTTGGTGGTGGAAAATGTGCACTGGTGAAGAGATGGGTGTTTGATGACCGTATGATTGAAGCTCAAATATGAAAGTTTTGTTACTGTACCTCACAGCGAATTAAATAAATTTTTAAAAAGATGTAATGTATTAATAATATCAAAAGAAATTAAGTACACAGCAAAGATGACGCTCTCTATCATAGTGACAATTAGTGCTAGAATTAATGGTAAAGCACATCATTACATCACAAATTCTAAAAGGATACTATTATTACTCTTCAACACAGTTCTGGATATTCTCACCCATATACCATGTTATAAAAAAGGATTTAAAAAAAAAAAAGAACCAAAGTTTCTTTAACCAGTCATCTGTTCTCAGGTACTCGTTTTTTTTTCCCAGATTCTGGCTATTGTAAATAGTGCTGCAATAAACATACAAGTGCAGATGTCATTTCTACTATACTTTTTTTGCATCTCCAGGATATATTCCCAGAAATGGTATTGCTGGGTCAAATGGGAGCTCAATTTCTAGTTTTTTGAGAAACAACCGTATTGTTTTCCAAAAAGGCTGAACTAAAAGAAGAGAGAGAGAGAGAGAGTAAAAGGGAATATGTCTGCCACAGAGGCAGGTGGGGGAATGGAGTGGGGGTGGCAGGAGGGATACTGGGAACACTGGTGGTAGAAAATAAGCACTGGTGGAAGGATGGGTATTCAATTATTTTATGACTGAAACATAATCACAAAAGTTTGTGAGTCTGTAACCGCATCATGTTGATTCATTAAAAAATTAAAAAAATTAAAAATAAATTAAAAAAATAACTATGGGCCAGTGCGACAGTGTAGAGGGTAGGGCTTTTGCCTTGCACACAGCTGACCCTGGTTTAATCCCTGGCTCACCAGCAGTGATCCCTGAATACAGAGTCAGGAGTAAGCCTGAGTACAGCTGGATGTGGCCCCAAACAAAACAAATAAAAAAGAAGTATAACTAGTATATAATTTTTAACTAGCATATAATTTTTCAAAGTAAGAATGATATCTATTCATTGAAAATTCAATATGAAAAAATTAAACAGTTTTAGATTAATAGCTTATAATATTGATTGCTTAAAGAGATTTATAATCACTGTAGCACTGTCCTCCCGTTGTTCATCGATTTGCTCGAGCGAGCACCAGTAATGTCTCCATTGTGAGATTTGTACTGTTTTTGGCATATCAAATATGTCACGGGTAGCTTGCCAGGCCTTGCTGTGTGGGCGGAATACTCTCGGTAGCTTGCCAGGCTCTTTGAGAAGGGCGGAGGAATTGAACCCAGGTCAACCGCGTGCAAGGCAAACGCCCTACCCGCTATGTTATCACTCTGGCCCAAAGAGATTTATAAAAATTTATAAAAATTAAAAATTAAATTACAAAATTAAAAAATTTACCACAAACCAGCCAGTTAGAAGATTTAACAGAAAAAGATATCATTAATAGCAACTGAAATCCCTAGAGGCACTTCTAAAAAAGAAAGTATTTAAAAGATAATAAAACAAGTGCTAGTAAAAGTATGATTAGAACCTTAAAATAATTAAATATAAAACAAAAAATTAACTATTAAAATTTAGAAGAAAGGAAGTGATTAACTTTCTTGCAAAGGGAACACTTTCCTTAGTAGAATATCTATGTAAAGAGGTCATGCATACCAAAACATCTGCATGAGAAAAATCAGAAACAAAATGAAGGCACATTATACATTTCATCGAATGCCAAAATCTCTGAAAGAATACTTTTAGAGTCATTAACATAAAAATAAACACTAATAATTTAACAGAAGACAGAAGTAGACAATTCTCTACAAAATGACAAAGAAAACTAAATGTGATAAAAAAAAAAAAAGCACCCTATCGTTAAGGAGTAAACTTAAACCACAACAAAATGCCATTACCCCACTTACTTGTAGTAATGACATCTCAAACAAGGTGAACCTGATTAAGATAAGAGCTCCTATCCCTATATGCAAGAGTAAGGCATCCTATAACCTTTCTGTGAGATATAATTTCATAAATTAGAAAACTTAGATATGAACCAATAAAATTACATCTAAAAGTTGGATCTAAGGAAACACTAAAAAAGTACATAAAAATTTACATATAGTCTGATTGAATGTTTGGAAATTTTTTCATGTCTGTGTCACTCTTGAGTTTTGAACCTGTACTTGTACTATGAATTGTAAGCTGAAGTCTAATTGATAGACTCAGAGGCTCTGTAGCCTCTCCTATATCTAACTAGTTGTCATGGTCATGGTCCTCCCGTTATTCATCGATTTGCTCGAGCGGGCCCAGTAACATCTCCATCGTGAGACTTGTTGTTACTGTGTTTGGCATATCGAATACGTCACGGGTAGCTTGCCAGGCTTTGCCGTGTGGGCAAGATACTCTTGGTAGCTTGCGGGGCTCTCTGAGAGGGGCGGAGGAATCGAACTCGGGTTGGCCATGTTGGCTCCGTGCAAGGCAAATGCCTTACCCACTGTGCTATCGCTCCAGCCCTTGGAAATAAATTAAATATTTAAAATAGGGTCATAAAAAAGTAGATAGAGGGAGAGGAAAAAAGAAGAAAAGTGCCTGCCTCAGAGGCAGGCGGGGATGGGGGAGTGGGAGGGATACTGGGGACATTTCTGGTGGGAAATGTATACTGGTGGAGGGATGGGTGTTGGAACATTGTATGACTGAAACCCAATTATGAACAGCTGTGTAACTGTGCATCTCGAAGTGATTCAATAAAAATAAATTAATTAATTAAAATTTAAAAATACGGTCATGGATATTAAATAATCAAATATCCAAATAACTGAAAACACTACTGTCTTTAAAAAGCATTAACAAATTTAGCAGACTGGAAAATGCTTACCAAGCATTACTGTCAGAAAAATCAGAATGTTTGGGGCCCAGTGGAAGACACTTGTGGCTTATAATGCATACCCTCACATATATTATGGTCAGGAGTTCAAACACCTGGTTGTCACCCTTTGTGCGTAGCACACTCCTGGTGTGCCTCAGTCAGGTGTGTGTAAATACCACCAGGGCGCCACACCTGGCTACATACACCTTCAGAGACAAGCTGAGCACCATGGTAAGCAGGAAGTGATGCTTCGTGAGCAGCACCCTCCCCGCTCCAGTGAGGGATGCCACAGTAACTCCCAGACCTCTGTGAAAGAGCACTCTGCTGCAAGCATGTGTGCAAGCACCGCTACAGGAGCACACACCTCTAGCAAGGTCAAGGGTATGAGCCTTCAGCAAGGTCAAGGGTAGGAGTACGGAGGCCTGCAACTCCTGTGAGCACTACAGCCGAGGATCTGTGTGATCCATGGCAATGGCAGTAACACCGATAACAACAATGATAGGATGGGGAGAGGGAGTTGTTTAAAAATTACTGTAAAAAGGAGAAAAAATTATAAAACTACTATGATTTGGGCTTGAGAGTCAGTTCAGGGATTAAGGTGCTTTATTTGCACTCAGTTGACCTGGTTCAATTCCAGCATCACACATGGTCCCCTGAGCACCAGCAGAACTGATCCCTGAGCACAGAGCAAAAAGTTAGCCCTGAGCACTGCAGAGTTTGGCCCCCAAACAAAAACCAAACCAAACCAAACAAACAAAAAATTACTGTGATTCCTTCAAAACTATTTTTTTATAAAAAAAAATCATCATATTATCTCTGGATAATAAAAAGTTAGAGAATTTCCATTTCTGATTTATAATTTCCCACAAAGAACATGCATTAATATAAAAATATGAAGATTTATTTGAAAAAGGATTTAAAATAGTTGTATTTCATCCATAGTATTATTTCTGATTGGCCTCAGTTTATTGAAAGTCATGGTGCTATGACTACCATGTGGTAAAGTTGTGTAAAAGAACAGACACACATTTAAATATGATCACATGTCAGTTTATTGAGGAAACTGTGACATTATATGTTAATTCTATTCACTTGATTACTTTTCACTATGTGAAAAGAAACTCCAAAGGTCATACGCCATGAAGTTACTTGATTACTTTCCCATACTCTGTTCAGGAACATAAAAATCAAATACAAAGAAATGTTAAAAAAAAATGCCTGCCCTTTCACCCATCAGGTGGTAATTAAGGGTAAGTACAGTGGCATTGGAGGAAGGGGTAGAAATTATACATGTAATGAGCTAGATTTCTTTTTCAAATTTTCAGATCTGTTCAACATTTTTTTTTAGTTTTTGCACCAAAAAAGGAATCGATACTTTTCATTCCACTCTTGTCAACTTTTGCCAAAGCCTTCTGAGCTGCGGTCATTTTGCTATTTTTCTGTTAATGAAAATAAGAGAAAACTTGTTACAAAGGTAACTTTTATAAGGCATACAAGAAAATCCAGAGACCGTGAGCTGCCCGTCCTTATGTTCAAGAAGCAGTCACTGCTAACGTGCTTCACAAGGGGCTGACTGCTTTCAAAAGTTTTGATTGCTATTCAGAATGCAGGTCTAAGAGACAAAAATGTCAAAAGGGGCAGGAGGCAAAATTGCGGCCTTCTACAAAGTGGAGCGTTACAACCAATGGTTTACTTTCTGGAGGATAATTCTGGAGGGTGCATTAAGAGCAAGAACAATGGAAATGACACAGGCAGCAATTGTCAGAGGGAGGAATTACAGCCTGTATAACCCTCCGATGAATAATTCACACCGATTTACCATCTGATTTTTCCCCTCCATAAGCTCTATGGGAAACCAAGGATTTATTCTTTTTGTTTGTTTGTTTGTTTGTTTGCTTTTGGGTTACACCCAGCGATGCTCAGGGGTTACTCCTGGCTTTGCACTCAGGAATCACTCCTGGCGGTGCTCGGGGGACCATCTGGGATGCTGGGAATCGAACCCGGGTCGGCCGCGTGCAAGGCAAATGCCCTACCCGCTGTGCTATTGCTTCAGTGCCCCCAAGGATAATATTCTTAAATTAAAAAAACTAACCTGTGCTACAAAGCACCAGGCCCGAATAAGCGGCTCCATTTTTCCTCCAACACAGAAATGCTTTCCAAGAAAACTGATTCCAAATATCTTTGCCAATGTATTTTTTAAGGGAATAATACGTGGTCCCCAAATCTTGCTTCTGTCACTTTTAATTAAGTTATCCCCTGAACTTAACGGACATTCTGAACCAGCCCTTTATCTCCCTGGGGTTGGACCCAGGTTAGAAGGGTGGAGCAGAAACGATTTTCACAGAGAAACTCAAAAATGTCCCTGTTTGGATGAAGCACTGAGAGAACCAGCTACTTAGCCAAGCCTCAAGCTGATTATCCTCTGACATGACATGACCAGATAGATTACAAATACATTCAAGAAAAAACAAAAATTCTAAGAGGCATTCTTGTACATGTGTTAATGAATACTGTTGACATAAATGGAAGTTAACTTAGAACAGCAAGGCCTCAGCATGAAAAATGAGAAAATCACAACAAATTTTCTGTTATTAAATTTTCTTAGTGGACTAAATATAACCCAAGTGGATGGGTGAAGTCTAAACACAAAAACAAGAAGAAAATCGTAAAGAACAACTTCTTTACAGATCCAGAGAAAAAAACTGTTAACAAATCAAACAAAAAGACTAGGCAGAAACAGGAAAATTATTTGTATCCTAATATTTTGTATTCTAATTTGTATCCTAATTTAAATGCCACAAATTTAGAATGAGTTCTTACAAATGATCAAGAAAACATAGCTAAATATAAAAAGAGCAGGGGCAATGATTTCACAACCTAAAAAACCTGAACGGTAATAAAGATGTGGTAAAGCAACTAATATTTTTAGTTAAAGAAAGGTAACCCTGAGAGGCAAACATTTTGGAGAGTAAAAATACTCAAATTGTGAAGAATGTGAGGTAAGTATTCACTGGAACTTTTGTCAGTAATGCACATTTTTACTGCATTTCTGGAAAGCATTATATGTGTATATATAGCATATATAAGGACTTTCCTATTACCTAAAAATATACATATTACATAAATCCATGCCCTATCCCCTTTGACAGCTAGCAATACGAACCACATGCATATAATAATCATGAAAGAACTCATATTTTCTTAACTTTTACTCTTAGTTCTGAAAATTATATCTAATGTAATCATTAGAAGTGCAAACTATAGAAAAGTGTTTATCATTTCACTAGATCAAAACATTTAAAAAGCAAAAAGATTATGTGCAGCCAAAGAGGGGAAGGATGAAATAAAACATGACCCACACAATTATATAAACTAGCACAAATGATTGCCTTTAATGAAACCTACTAATGATTTTTCAAAGAATGTTTTGTGGTGTGAGCATTTTCACAGTAAAAGGGCAGGATCCAAATTGATATACATAAATCTTAACTGCCAATTTTAATTTATTGAAAAACATTCTTAATCATTTTGATCGGGGGCCACCGCTGGTGCTGCTCAGGGCTTACCCCTAACTCTACACTCAGAGTTCATGCCTGGCTGTACTCAAGTGACGCTATGTGGTACCAGGGATCAAACTGGGCCAACCACATGCAAGCAAATAGTGTGTCACCCTGCTTGAACTCTCTGGTCCCAACTGCCAATTTTTAAAGCGACATATAATGTATGTATGAAATAAAGCTTAGTAAGAAAAGTTGTCAAAATATTTGCTGGGGTGATTGCTGAATGGTGGAGCGAACGAATAATTCAACCACCAGCATAATTTCCAATAAAAAAAAACCTGTGTCTGTTCTCTTCTTCAATTCCACTGTTATCATTCAATTCACAGCCTAGGCCAGTTACATTCGTTAATTTCACAGCTTTCTGGCGTTTGTAAAAGTCTGCCTTCATGGCCATTTTCATTGCTGGGGACACCTTTCTGAATCGATTCTTAAGGCCAGGGGAGGTGACAATCCCAGTGAAGCGCATCGGTGCTGACGAGCTCCCACAGCAGCATCACCATGGCATGCACCTGCACACACATGCACAGCTGTACACATCCACCTGCACAGCTCATGCCATTCCCCCTGCACACACGTACCTTCTCAGTCTTCAGATCTTTAGAGTTAAACTTAGTATAATCTTCTTTGGCTTCGATGGGCTCATCGGATAGCTTTACTTTCTGCAACGTTAGAGCAGTGAAGTGGGATCAAACATCACTGGGACAGTCACATAAACTCATTGGGAAAAAGGACAACAACATGCCACTTGAATGTATTTTGAGGTCAAAAAGAAACAGAAGGATTGACAAAGGGCATTCTTTTTTTAATTATTTTTTTATATGTAGGAGTACTGCTATTTATTCAGCCACTGATTAGCTGATTGAATTGGGCATTAACTCCATCTTACTTTTTTTTATAATTTTATTTATTTATTTTTTTCTTATATTTATTTATTGAATCACTGTGGGAAAAGTTACTAAGCTTTCAGGTTTAAGTCTTGGTCACACAATGATCAAATACCTCTCCCTTCACCAGTACCCATTTTTCCCCACCTAGAACCCCAATACCTCCCACCACTCCCAATGCCTGTGAGGCAGATGACTTCCACTTAACTATTTTCTACATTGATTACATTCATTATTTTGACAAAAGATGCACCATTATTGTTTAGAATTTCCCCCCAACAATCAGAATTGCTGAAAAGGCATCGTTTTCTATAGCTGGTTATGAGAATCATATAATCTCGTGTGGTTGCAATATCAGCCTCGCGATTTTGGATTTCTGCAAAGAGCCAGATAATTCCGAGATTGGTTTCTGTGTGTCTGGTGTTATGGCGCTGCCAGAGAGTCACCGTGGGGGTGGGGGGCAACTTGTGACCTCGGTAGGGCATGAAGGATGAGCCGGTACCGCCCCCCTTCCCATGAGACTGCAGTTGCCCCATCAACGCCGGCTCATACCTGGCTTTCTTATAAGCTCTGAGGTGGCGGCCACCTTGCTGCTGGGGTGGGGGTGGGGGGAAGCGGAAGGGAGCAACACCCTTTCCCTCCCGGGGAGGCATGGCGCCACCGTAGTTTAACACATGGTCCATTCACTTTTCTGCCGCAAGCTGCTGGGCTCTGGATTAAGTCCTTTTGCCTCTGGAGCCATGACCGTGCTGGAGACTTGCTCGTGGGGGGCAACTCATGACCTCGGTTGGGCATGAAGGACGAGCCAGTACCTCCCCCTCTTCCCATGAGACTGCAGTTGCCTCATCACTGCCGGCTCATACCTAGCTTTCCAATAAGCTCTGAGGCGGTGGCCACCTTGCTACCAGGGGGGAAAAAGGCGGAAGGGAGCAACACCCTTTCCCTCCCAGGGAGGATTGGCACTGTAGTTTAACGAATGGTTCATTCACTTTTCTGCTGCAAGCTGCCGGACTCTGGACTAAGTCCTTTTGCCTCTGAAGCCATGGCCATGCCAGAGAGCCGCTTGTGGGGGGCAACTCGTGACCTCGGTAGGGCGTGAAGGGGGCATTCTTTTTTCAGAAGCTTGTCCACATTTGCCAGTTACATACAAAACAAAGCCACCTCCCTTCAAAGCCGCAGCCTTGGTGATGGGGGATGGAGATATGATTAGCTAAGTCGTCCCTTTTGGCAGTGGGCAATACCCACCACATGTTTCATACACACCCCAGACGGTGGCCATTTACTGAGCACCGACTTCAAAGACAATCTCAAGGGTGAATGTACATGAACACAGAAAAGACATAAATTTCTTCCATGGGGGCCAGGGAGCCAGCCCGTAGCCTCACTTCCTTCACCTCCTAGGTTGGTTTAATGTCCACTTAGGAGAACAGGGGAGCACTATCCTCTCATTACCATCTTCATAACTTCATGTTCTCACTTGTTTCAATTCAGGTTTCTCTTTTTTTTTTTTGTAAAGAATTTTCATACTGTAACTTTTATTTATTATTATTATTTTTTAAATTAGAACAACCTGGCAAAGCAGGCTGCCAGCAGGGGGAAGTACAGGGACCGAGGGAATAATACCTAGCACACCATCTAGCAGAGGAACTGGGCTGAGAAATCTCAATTTTTGTACAAGGACTCTTTCCATTAGGCCAAATCCACCGAAGTCAACCTTTATTATCAATCACATGTTTTCACCTTCACACAATCACACTTTGAACCAATGGATAGGCGAATCATTTTGAGAGCTAGGTGAGCTCCTGAACGTGCACAGCACCAAAGGAACCATGATACACTATCACGCAAAGGCACAGAGAAGCATGGACATGAAGCTTAATCTGGGGGACTGGCTGTCTGTCAGTCACAACGACGATTTTTATAGCTCTTCAACTAATTTGACAAACTCTGATATGTATTAACCCTAAGAAAAACGTATCTGAAGTGCTTCACTCTTCACAACGCAGCATTTGCTAAACCAAGAACAGTTATAGCTTGTGCTAAAGGTGTCGTGGTGTTTTGAAATCTTCACCGGACAGAACAGATGGGCATTCTGGAATGGATCACATGTGGGAAAATCTTTCTACCACAGCAACTTTGATAAATATATCTTCAGAAAAGCAAAAGCAGTTTATCATGAATGAATTATCTCCAGCACAAAGGCAGAGTAGATCCCCATGCAACTTCCTAAACAAGCGGTTTCAGCAAGGGGCAGCAGTGGAGGGATAGTGAAACCTCAGTGGTGGGTGCAGTGCTGTTATATTGTGTAACACTAAGCATAAGTGTTAATACTATTGTAATACATGTTACCTCAATAAAAATAAACATGTTTCTGGACCAGGAATGTGACTTGGAGAGCAAATGCTGACATCTGTGAGGCTCTGTATTTAGTCCCAAGTACACAGTCCAAATGGGGAAAAAAAAGGATTCTACTTAAATTAAGTCTTTTTTTAAAAAAATTTTTATTAGTGAATTAAATTAAGTCTTAAAGGCATCAAGTCATGTGTGTCTGTGCGCATACCCCCCCCCACAAAGTTATTCATCATTTCGTTTCAGACACACGATGTTTCAACATCTATCCCTTCACCAATCTCCACCAGCGTCCACCTCCCTCTACCAATGCTTCCCTGCCTCCCTCCCAGCTCTGCCACTGCCATCTCCTCCCACCCAACACGTCTGTCTCTGGGAGAGATGCTTTTTTTTTTTTAATAACTTTTTGCCTTTGGTTTACAGTACCATTAGTAAAGGGATTTTATGCACAGCATTTTATATTTTTGCTAGAAAAGTATCTTTAACTAGAATGATATTACTCATAAGTAATAAGGATGAAGGCGATAATAGTTTCAGTTTGCACTTTTACATTTATATATTTTACATATATAACTTTTCATTATGTTCACTTTCCTTCTCTGGCAAAATGTTCCTGTGTCAATGCTACTATAAACAGTTGACATGCTCACTCTTCAGTCTGGTAAGTCGGGGAAAAAAATGCTCCTGGTGAGAGCCTATTGCAAAAGGAGCTTTCTCATAAGTATAAAAAGTTAAATAAATGTTAGACTAGGGAACCAGAGAGATAGTACAGGGTACAGGGTTTAAGACTCATGCCATCCAAGCAGCTGACCCAGTTTCATCCCTGGCACCATATGGTTGCATTGCAGGATGCAACCCTTGGGCAACAATGGAGTGGCCTTGGTATCCCTGACATTGCAGAGGCCCTCTACTGCATCCTCAGGCTTAGACATTGAAGCACCAGCCTGGTTTGGCAGATTGAGAATTGCCAGGAGGGGTCCTCAGGGTCCCCAGAGCATTGCTTGGAAACAAAGAAACCTGATCTGTTCAGGAGCTCATTCTTAAACAAAATACTGGTTGTACAAGAAAAACGAAACGATTATGATGATGATTTGCCCCTAACTTGCTTTTATGTTTATGTTTATCCCAGGAAACCACTGAACATGTTAGAGGACAACATCCTTATAAGGAGACCAAGTTCTACACAGTAGTTCTACACAGTAGGACCAGTGCAGAAGAAACAGAGAAGTGTCTCAGAAATGATTATGAAGGCAAAGCCCTGGAAAGACATGGAGGGGACCACAGGAATGAACGAATGGCCAGCACCGTGAGCACTCTCCAAGAAGGATCACGGGAATGTCTCCAGCTCCACGGACTGCACTCAACTTTGCTGGCGGATGACGATAAATTAAAAAGATCAACAGGGTGAAACTTGAAGCTGAGCTTCAAATAGATAAACATGATAGTACAAAAAAAAAAAGGCAATCATGCAAAATGTATTAAGGGTGACAGCAAAAAGTTATCCTGTACCACATGGATACCAAGATGCTTAATAGCTACTGGAACCTATTTCCTGAAAACCAATCAACCTTATTAATACAGAAATCAATCAGATCCTGGACAAACAGGAGAAACCAGAGACAACATAATTCTGTGTTTATTTAAACTATGGTGCCTCATCCAGTAGAGATTTCAACGTGGATACTGAAATCCCAGGAAAGTATAACAGAGTAGACCTTAGAAAAGCAGCTAAAATAACCCAGCAGAGCAGACAAGACTGAGGTTCAGGAAACACAAGATGCCGAGACCTAAATCAGGGCCTGGCAAACTAGGGCCCACAGGCCAAACACAGCTGGCCGCCTGTTTTTGTAAATGAAGTGTTACTGGCACAGAACCGTGCAGATTGGTTCAGGAATACCCGAGGCTCCCTCTGCACTATCACAGCAGCGCCCAGCAGCTGTGACAGAGGCCATCTGCTTCACGGGGCTTAAAATATTTACTCTCTGGCCTTTCAGAAGAAGTTTCCTGACCCCTCATCTAAATCATCACAGATGATGAAATTGCGAATGACTTAAATATGGAAATCAGAATAAGAAAACTGGGTCAAAAAAAGAATCAACTTAGCAAACACCTTACCCCAGAAAGCAGGAAAGGCTATAGAACTTTCAATAGGTTTAGATCAGTTCGTGAACATCTTCTAAATAACTAAGAAATATTTGGGAGAAGAAAATGCCCTAAGTTTGGGGAAGGAAATAAGAAAACCAAATATGTCTCTTTTCTCTTTATAGGAATATAAGTGTTTCTATGTCTCCTTGTGCTACTGCTGGAGATTCATTTCGGGACTAGAAGCCGCATGGGTCAAACCTAGAATGAACCTTCTTGGCATTTACAGCAATCAACTGTATCACTACTGTTCCTTCGGAGAGAAAAAGGTAAACTTCCTTTGATGACTTGTTGAAAACAGCCATGCACATATGCTTTAAATTTTCAGACCTTCTCAAAATAAAAATTATGAACATATGTATGTATACATGTATATATGAAGAATTTTTAGATAGCTATTAAGTTAAAACCGAGTCTTCCTTGGTTCTCATAGCAATTTATTAGGTAAAATTACAAAAATTAATAACATTGGTGGAGAACCTGCTACAATCTGTATCTCACACAACATGACTCCATGCAAGGTGGATGAACTGCATTTTAAAATAAACTAGAATAAACTAATATATGGCAGTAAAAGTGCAATTTTCTCCCATGTTCTCTAAAGATAATCTCAGTTACAGCTTCTTACCTTGGATGGAGGATTTGGCAATGGAGCTGAAGGTTCTGGGAGCCTAAGGGAGCAATAAATAAGCATTGTCATCATGGTTTTTCATAGACAAGCAAAGACAAAGGCCAAGTCAACTGAAGACTTGTGAATCCTACTTTCTCCTGACAGTTCCACCTCTACCGTGTCTCAGGGGAGAGAGAGACATTTCTCTAATGGAAACATCTCATCTCACTACCTAATACCTTGATTTGGAATGAGCGGAACTGAAAAATAAAACGGGAACCCATTGGGTTGGAATAGAACTGCTTTTCTTTAGCCTTCATACATTTTCATTTTTGACTGACACATTTTTCCTCATAAATGATGAATCTAGTATATACTTAAAAGTGAAAATACCAAGGAGTATTTTCTTTCTTTTTTTTTTTTTTTTTTTTTTTGCTTTATGGGTCACACCTGCCAATGCACAGGGGTTACTCCTGGCTCTGAACTCAGGAATTACTCCTGGTAGTGCTCAGGGGACCATATGGGATGCTGGGAATCGAACCCAGGTCGGTCGCGTGCAAGGCAAATGCCCTACCCTCTGTGCTATCGCTCCAGCCCCCACCAGGAATATTTTCAAAGAGCCATTTTCTTCCTTTGGGGAAAAATTTAATTGAAATCTCCTTCTCCCCAAATCTTGAAAGAAGTCTTTTAAAAAGTCTGTGGAAAGCTTAGCAACACTGTCACCTGGAAATATTTGTAAAATAGAAACTGAAGCCTAAGAACTGGATGATCTTGCTAAAATAGCTTCTGAAAAAATAATGTTGAGGGTACTGATTGGTTTCTCCTTTATGTTAATTTGAAAGGAGACTGTTAAATGAAACAAAGGACTATTAAATAAAAAGGAAAAAAAATGCCTGGGGAAAGGGTCCGGGGATATATCTTTGCAGTTCAAAAGCTGTACCATGCCACAAACAAGTAAACAAAAACACCTCCCTCCCAGACTCCTGATAACCAAAAATAAATAACCTCATTAATTTAAAAAAAAACTTAGGTGCAGGGATTTGGATTGGTAGTGCTGTGCCCACCACACAACAGGAGACCCTGATCGAAGCCCCAGACCGTGAACCCTGGCACCAGGACACATACAACATATGGTGGCGCAACAGTGACCACCCAGATTTTCAGTGAAAGAAAAATATCTAGAAAATAGATTTTAAAGTGCAGAGACATATAGTCTCTAAGAAGTCAAGCAGCGACTAGGAACTCTAGGGAAATATTCCACAGAAGCCAGCTTTTATGGCCATAGAAACCAGACTCCACTGGTTTCTAAAGCAGGAGTGAGGCCATTTGCTAAAAACAGCAACTGTGTGTATTAAAAAGTCGTTCGGTCCAGGATGTAGTTCAATGGCAAAGTGCTTGCCTTAGATACATGAGACCTTGGGTTTGATGGCTCCCTCAGCCCTACCTCCCAAGTGTAATTTTAGAGAAAAACTACTAATTCATCACATGCAGAAAGTCTTAACAGTTGTTAAGAAAAGCAACACAGAAAATAAACGTTTCTCCAGCCCAAGGAAATCTTTATATTATAATAAAGATCTTTATGAAGGAACACAAATTAACTCTTCTCCTGTCCTCAGAGACAGATAATGCTTCTAGGCTTTCTTATTTCCAAATACTGGGCATAATAAAGGTAGTCAGTGGACAACTAAGGAGTGTAAAAATGGGCCAATCCTTTTATTGCTGTCACTGTCACTGTCCTCCCATTGTTCATCGATTTACTCAAGCGGGCCCAGTAACATCTCCACTGTGAGACTTATTACTGTGTTTGGCATATCGAATACGTCACAGGTAGCTTGCCAGGCTTTGCTGTGCAGGCAAGATACTCTTGGTAGCTTGCCGAACTTTCCGAGAGGGGCGGAGGAATCGAACTTAGTCTTTTATTCCAATCTTCAAAAATATTCTAAATGCTATTTACTCTTTCCTTACTACCTTTATTTCTCCTAAGCTGATGACAAACCCAAATTAGTTAAGTGCATGAATAAAATTTTAAGTTTACATTTAAAGTCAGGCTCCAGGGCTGGAGTGACAGCACAGCGTGTAGGGCGTTTGCCTTGCACGCAGCTGACCCGGGTTCGATTCCCAGCATCCCATATGGTCCCCTGAGCACCGGCAGGAGTAATTCCTGAGTGCAGAGCCAGGAGTAACACCTGTGCATCACCGGGTGTGACCCCAAAAGCAAAAAAATAAAGTCAGGCTCCAACCCATAAATTCAACCTTAGCACTCACAAAGTTCCCATAATCAGTATCTACTAAAACAATTTGTTCCAGTTAGTTCATGTCTTTTAAAAATCATCTCCAAACCACAGACTATACATAACTCATAATCTCTTATGAAAAACAACTGTGATAAGTCATAAAGAAACAGTATCACTGGGGACATAAAGCAGCACAAAGGGACTGTATGAACAGTACTTACTTTAAATACTTAGATAAGTCATCACTTAATTCTTGAGGGATGTAATCAGATATTAGGCCATAGGCATAGCGAATATAATCCTCTGAAAGAAATAGGATGGAGAATGAAAAATAATTAAGTAATAATTACAGTGATTGATTAGTTACATTGACTACTAAGAGTTCACTTCTGATTTCATCTGGCTTTAGAGACTCACTTAAGTTCATGTTCTAAGCTTCTTTTATTTGTGAAATGGGGGTACTAATGTTTATCTGTCCCTATAATTGGGTGATATGAAGTATAAGATATATGTGATGATATTAAAGACAATAATTAAATAGTAAATAGCTAGTAAACAATAGTCAAAGGGAATACTCAAACAGTTAAAACAACGAAAGAGTTGTTTTCTCATTTGAGGCCTTTAAGCACACAAAAAGTTTAGAAATCAGCTTTAACAATAAAAATACTCATGTCCGGCAAATCTTTTCTATACCAGTTACAAAATAGAATATATCCAATTATTAATAACAAATATTCTTATTTAAGAAAGATATTTCCCAATCAAGTTTCTTTATTCATATAATTTATTTATCAAGCTTTCTTGACTTGCATAATTTATTTATATACTCCCAAATTAATACGTTGCCTGAAAATTTTCAAAAAGAAAACTCAGCAGAATAATTGTTAATTCAAAAGCATCTGGATATCTAGCGTTAAAATGATGATCTGATACCAATTAAGTATATGTTTACAAGACAATAAAATTTCATAAGCCCTATTTCTTAATTCAGTATTTTACATAAAATACTAAGGCTAAGTAAATTTAAGACCATAATCTGGGGTAATCATGCAAGGATACAAACTACAGAAAAAAATAGTCCAGTTGCCGGGGCATCTATATGGGTTTTTTTTTGTCCTTTCTTTCCTGCCCTCAGCTGGAACAATGTGCTTCTGAATGAGTGAGTGCTGCAGCCCAATCTGAACGATTTCATAGGAGATTCTCTTGGCCAATGAAGGGAGAGTTATCACTTTTGTACCCTTCTGAAAATGTGCTCGTGATTTTAGGTTAGTAATTATCCAGTGAGTCATGAACAGACCAAAAAAAAAAATCTATTTTAAGAAAGTCATTTGCTTTTCTGGTAATATAACAAGCTAAAGAACTGAATAAAAGGAAATAAGATAAAGAGTATACTGCCTGTTTGATGATTGGGACATTAATAGCAGTAGGGCTGAAACCACGTCCTTATATTTAGAGATTGGTAAACGCACGAACTCAGAGCAGAAGCCTGGACTGCTTAAGAGAAGAGGCTATCCTGGATCAATCATCTACCTTTCTGAGTGCCTCCTTCATTCCCTCTCTCCTTCCCTTCTTTCATCCCATCCTCCTTTTTGTCTGGGTTTTCAGGAGTTGCCCAGGGACCCCACTGGCAATTCTTGACCAACTGGGCCTGCAGATCAAGGCAAGAGCCCAGGCGTGCACAGCTGCTCAGTTCTACAGTGCCAAAGATTACCCAGAGCACAGCCCTGACAGTGCTTGGAGGTCTCCAGCACCGCACCCAGCCAGGCTGGAGGATCACATGGTGCCAGGAATCTAATTGGTTAGACACACGTCACGCACACTAACTGCTATATTATCTCCCAGTTCTTATCATTGTTAAAATGAAGAGACCTTAAAAAATCTCTATAAACACAAAAAGTTTTCTATCTACTCATCATTCATCCACCCATCCACCCATCCACCCACCCATCCATCCATCCATCCATCCATCCATCCATCCATCCATCCATCCATCTCTTTTCTGCTTCTGGTAAAAGTCCCTGAAAGATATTGACAACTGCTAAAATAGTATAGCTTGTTTTCTCCTCGCCTAGCAAAAGCCTCCTATACTTCTGCAAAGAAAAGAGTGAGCCAAGAACACAGAGGTCACTGCTCCCAGTTCTTTGTTTTCTTTTTGTTTTTGGGTCACTCCCAGTGATGCTCAGGGGTTACTCCTGGCTCTGCACTCAGGAATTACTCCTGGCAGTGCTCAGGGGACCATATGGAATGTTGGGATTCGAACCCGGCTCAGCCTCGTGCAAGGCAAATGCCCTACCCGCTGTGCTATCACTTCAGCCCCTCCCAGTTTTATTTTCTTTTAACGACTAAGCTAGATGCTTCAGTGTTACATATCCAAAACAGAGAACACTGAATTTCATTTTTGTCCTAGTATTTGAAGAAGTTAACTGTATTATGTTGCAATTTTTATTCAACCATACATATATAAAAAAAAAGAGGACGCTACAATGGAAAAAGTCAAAGGATGTATTTTAATAAACCTAAAAGAAAAAAAAAGCCAAGGGAATCAATTTTCACTTAAAACCAAAAAACTGATACCTCTAAGCAGGCTATGTGCTTATTTTTTTTACTTTTTTATTGAATCACTGTGAGATAGACCCTTACAAAGTTGTTCATGATTAGATTTCAATCATACAGTACTCCAATACATACATACAAACATACATACTCCACCAGTGTACATCTCCCAATACCAGTGTCCCCAGGTTTCCTCCTATCACCCCCTACTCCACTCCCTGCCTGCCTTTATGGCAGGTGCCTCTCTCTCTCTCTCTCCCTGCTTCTTGACAGTAAGATGGAAATATATGCAGCTCATTGGAATCACTGGGCTGCAAGAAGAGAACTGCCAAACGCTTAAGAGCATGGACTCAGCTAGCATCCAGCCAAGCTCCATCAGTAGTTCAGTTCTCCCATTTACTAGCAGTATGACTTTGGATAGTCTCCAGATGCTCATTGTAAGATGAGACACGGAGGGGGAAGATGAGATCTCAATACACATAGATCTATGCCAACTTAGTAAAAGGCTTGGCACATAAATCATTCCCAATAAATGATAGTCTGGTTTATTAGGATTGCTATTACTATTAGTGACAAATATTTGTTGAATGAATAATTTACAACTCAATCAGTAACAGAAGTGATCTATGGTAGCACTGTAGCACTGTCCTCCCAGTGTTCATCAATTTGCTTGAGTGGGCCCAGTAACATCTCCATTTTGAGACTTGCTGTTGTTACTGTGTTTGGCATATCGAATATGTCACAGGGAGCTTGCCAGGCTTTGCTGTGTGGGTGAGATACTTTCGGTAGCTTGCCGAGCTATCCAAGAGGGGCGGAGGAATGGAACTCAGGTCAGTCAGGTCGGCTACGTGCAAGGCAAACGCTCCACCTGCTGTGCTATCAGTCCAGTCCATCTATGGATGAAATATTATTTATTTCTAAAATAAAATGCATACCTGACACAAAATCTGTAAAAGCACTGGCAGAAATACAAAGCCTCTGAGAATTTAGGGTTTTAAAACCAAAAGACAGACATTGATACACAACAACTTACTCTAGACAAAAATCATTGCTGATGAAATGATTTATTTACCTTCCTTTTCACTAGATGCTTGATCACCAGAGAAAAATGCAGTTGTTGCCTGTACTCGGGCACTCACATTTACATTATTGGTTTTTAAAGCTGCCACAGTCTGATGAACCTATGAATAAAACAAAGGACAAAGGGGAGGGCATTTTCAACTAACTTTAAAATATACAACTTTCTAATGGCACATGGTTCATATATAATCCAGGATGAAACTATCTGAGGACTTAGAAATAGTTTCACCATCTATCATAGAAGAGAGATGGCTACATATTTGGAGGAACGTTGAATGGCAGCAACCACATTTGCGGATTATTGCAGTACATAGATTTGCTCAGGCACACACATCTATACACATCTATACACATTTGGTATAATTGAGGCCGCTGGCCCCCTATGATTTCCCTTTCCCTTCTTTCTTTCTTCCTTGATTTCTTTTCTTCTCTGTCCTCCCTATACTCTGGGGTCAAGGCTGATCTAGGCATCCTCCCTTTACAACATTACATTTCCTTGTCCAGTTATTCTATGTACCACAGATAAGTGAGATCATCCTATGTTTCCTTTCATTTCCAACCAGGTTGCAGCAAATTGCATGATTTCAACATTCCTTGAAACTGCGTAGTATTCCACTGTGTGTATATGTGCCGCACTTCATAAACTATTCATCTGTCATTTGACACCTAGGTTGATTCCCTATCTTAGCTATAAGTGCCATAATGAATAATGTTGTTCATATCTCCTTTTGAATGAATGTTTTTTGTCCTGGGAGTCAATGCCCAAAAGTGGAACTGCTGGGTGATACGGCAACTCAGTTCTAAGTGTACTGTGAACTCTCCATACGGGAGAGTTTTCCACAGGGGTTGAACCACACAATATTGCCACCAGCAGTAACACTCAAATTTTATTTTATTTTATTTATTTATTTTTTTTATAATTTATTTCTTTATTGAATCATTGTGGGAAAAGTTACAGAGCTTTCGGGTTTAGGTCTCAGTCATGTAAATATCAAACACCAAACATGTAAATATCAAATACCAATACTTATTTTTAACCGGGAACCCCATTAGAACCCCACCTCCCACCCCTCCCAATTCCTGTGACGCAGATGAGTTCTAGTTAATACTCTATCTACTTTGACTGGATACATTGTTTCGATAGAAGATGCACCATTATTGTTTAGAGTTTACGACCCCCCCCCCCCCCCATCAGACATGCTGAAACGGAGCTGTGAAATGATTTGCTTTCTACAGCTGGGTTTAAGAATAAAATGATGTCTGGATTTCTGGTTCTGGATTTCTGCTATTTTACTTATTAACCCTGGAAGAATTTCTATTAAAAGTTAGATAGTTAAGAGATTGGTTTCTGTGCTCTGGAGTCGTGGCCGTGCCGGAGAGCCGCTCGTGGGGGGCAGCTGGCGACCTCGGTCGGGCGTGAAGGACGGGCCAGAACGCCCCCCCTGTCCCATGAGGTCCCCGCCGCCCCCACCCGCAGCTCAAACCTGCTGTCCACAAGGCTCCGGTGCGGCCGCCATCTTTCTTTCCAGAGAGGAGCGGGTGAGTGGGTCAACACCCTTTCCCCTCCGGGCAGGCATGCTGGCGCGATTTAACACATAGTCCATTTGCTTTTCTGCTCCAAGCGGGTGGTTTTCTGTACTAAGTCCTTGTGCTTCCGGGGCCGTGGCCATGCCGGAGAGCCGCTTGTGGGGGACAGCTGGTGACCTCGGTCGGGCGTGAAGGACGGGCCGGAACACTCAAATTTTTTTATTTATTTTTTAAAAATTTTTTTTTGTTTCTTTTCTTTTCTTTTTTTTTTTTACAGTTGTAGATTTACAATTTTTTGTGCTTGGGTTTCGATTATACAATGATCAGATACCCATCCCTCCACCAGTGCCCATTTTCCACCACCATGGATAATATCCCCCCACCCCCATCCCCCCATCCCCCCCTGCCTCTGTGGCAGGGCAATCCCCTGTGTTCTCTCTCTCCTTTTGGGTGTTGTGGTCTGCAAAAGAGGCACTGAGTGGCAAACATGTTCAGTCCATAGTCTACTTTCGACATGCATCTCCCCTCCTGGGAGGATCTTCCAAACATCCTTTATTTGGTGCTCCCTTCTCTATCTGAGCTGCCTTTTCCCCTAGAATGCCAGGCTGGCCTCTAAGTTATGGAGTAATCCTCCTGGTGCTGATCTCAGCTATTCTTGGGTATTAATCTCATACTTTGTTACTTTATATCCCCCAGATGAATGCAATCTTTCTATGTCTATCCCTCTCTTTCTGACTCATTTCGCTTAGCATGATACTTTCCATATTGTACCACTTGTATGTAAATTTCATGACTTCATCTTTTCTAACAGCTACATAGTACTCCATTGTGTAGATGTACCAAAGTTTCTTTAACCAGTCATCTGTTCTTGGGCATTCAGGTTTCTTCCAGTTTCTGGCTATTGTAAAGAGTGCTGCAATGAACAAACAAGTGCAGATGTCACTTCGACTATACATTTTTGCCTGTCTGGGATATATTCCCAGGAGTGGTATTGCTGGGTCAAACGGGAGCTCAATTTCTAATTTTTTGAGAATCGTCCATACTGTTTTCCAGAAGGGCTGAACCAGTGGACATTCCCACCAACAGTGAAGGAGGGGAACACTCAAATTTTAATACATCTCCATCCTCTCCTCCTAACTTGCCCTATTCTACTCCAAGAGAAATGCTAGTTGTAAATCTAGGAAATGGCTTTGGAAAGCACTGCCTGACATCATTAAGGCTATGCCTCTGTGTATGAGCAACACCAGCCTCGAGCACCTGTAAGATCTATATCAGCAAGTATACGCAAAATGGTCTGACATGGAAGACTCAAATCTCCGTGAACAAATGGAAAGAACTGCTCCTGCTTCACTGTCCTCTTCAGGATCTCTCATCCTCAGAAGCAAAGGCCCTCCCGTTGATCGTCGATTTGCTCGAGCAGGCCCAGTAACGTCTCCATTGGAGACTTTGTTGTTACTGTGTTTGGCATATTGAATACGTCATGGGGAGCTTGCCGGGCTCTGCCGTGTGGGCGAGATACTCTCGGTAGCTTGACGGGCTCTCCGAGAGGGGCGGAGGAATCGAACTCGGGTCGGCCATGTTGGCTGCGTGCAAGGCAAACGCCCTACCGCTGTGCTATCGCTCCAGCCCAAGAAGCAAGAACCACAGCCTCAGAAGCAAGAATCACAAAAAAAAAATGAGGAATTAGGTCAACAGCAAAGATCAAGCTTCCTCCAGAGATGCATGGAGGAGAGAACAGAAGATTGCTTCTCATGTTTGGGTAACCTTAAGCAGGTTTCCTCTTGTTCTATGACATACAAGAGAGAATGTGGGTTCAGATTTACTCTCTTCTCTAAAGATTATGGAAAAAGGAGACTATTTTTTTTTCATAAGGCACCAGAGAGGTACCATACCTTTTTTTCCAGCCACTTCAAGGTCTTCTCTTTGCTGTACTTATAATATTTTTTGCTGTTTATTTCTGGAATAAAAAAGAAAAAAGTCAGCAGAGTAAATTAAACAAAAGCCATGTCATATACAGGTTAACAGTTTAAAAAATATTTCATAGGAGGTGGGGGGAATTGGGGATACTGGTGGAAGAAAGCGGGCACTGGGGCAGGAATTGGTTTTAGAACATTGTATGCTGCAAACTCAATCCTGAGTTACTTTGTAACTTCATAATTCATGGCGAGTTAATAAAAATTAAAAGCAAAAAATATTTCACAACAGCTTGTAATCTTAAGAGCTCAATTTAGAAACCTTGAAGGCATCCTTGATGCATTAAGAAAATCCCAAAGAGAATCCTGGTACATCAAGCTTTATTCAATCATTGAATGAGTGCGAACTTAAGAAAATAATCAAATTACACAGACAAGTCTGTAGTAAAGGGAACTTAAAATCTCAGCAAATGAGCCTCAAGCAACCTTAATTTCTCTGAACAATTTTCAACTTATTTCACTGTTTTTTTCAATGAGAACATATTTTCGAAATAAAAATGAAAATCCCAAGGAAAAAAGTTGAAATTAAATGCAGGTGAAACTAACTGCCTTGTAAGTTCATTGTACATAATAGGGGAAAATAATTATTGTTTACTCAATCCTGTGCTATTGGGATTAGTGGAGTATAAAAGAAATCAATGTCTTAATGCATCACTGATAAGATCAATAGTGATTTCAAGGCAATTTATATTTATGTTGGGCTCAACTCAACCCTTTCAAGGATAAAAGTTTTATTTATCATCAACTGTACTCCCTTTCCTCACAATCCAACTAGCTTTCTATATGATGTCCCGAATGCATTACTTCCCTGGTGCCAGTTCATCTAAGGAGGTTCCTGGTTCCTGAAACATCAGCAGAGGTAGCATGTCCACCCCCAGTCTGCTGTCCCCATGCAGGAGCTGTCTCTGTGAGGGCAGAAGCACTGGGTTCTCTGGGAACCATCCTGAAGTTATAGACTGACACTTCCTATATGCTCTGTTATGGCAGAGGAAGAGGGAAGCTGCTTATTCAGGGCCATTTTCTGCTGTCTGCTTGAACTGGCTGAATTACACGAAATGATTTGTATGGATGAAGAGGTGGTCTTTGTTCCTGGACATTTACTCCTTCAGTCTGTGGTGGTCAGTACTGTGGGCAAGATAAGGCAAGATAAGGCAGGGGATAGGGCGGGTGGCACGGGACTGGAACTCTGCAGTGACCTCAGCAGAAGCAAAGAGGGAACTGCTGTAAACTGCACCGTCAGGAGTCTGAGAATTCCAGGGCAATGCCAGGTTCCTGGGGCCAGGGTTGCCTGGGCAGCAGCCTACGGAAACGCAAGATGCTCAGTGCTTGGGGTTCTCCCAGGAAACCTTACTGGGCTCTGTGGGTCACTTCACCCTTGCCTCAAGCTCCAAATTTCCTGGAAGCGTTTTCTACTGTCTCTTCATGCTTCTCCCGCCGCTTCCCCACTCCCTGGGTGGATGCAGAAAACTATAAAAAAAAACTCCTCGCCCTCTTATAAGTGCTCCCTAGACAAAGCAGAGAAGCAGGCTTGTCCACTGCACTGCTGCATGCCTGCATGCTCAATGACCACTGGCACCTACTAGGGAGCCAAGCCACATAGTGTTAAAAGCAATACTGTGGACACACACAAAATACTGCATTAAGATCACTCGATCACTTGATTACTGCAATTACTGTAATTACTGCATTAAGAAAACATTACAAATTGAAAACCTGCTAATGAAACAACAGAACTGGACTAAGTTCTGAATAGGCATTTTTTTCTCATTTAATGCTCAGAATACATCAGAAGATGAAAACTAATTTTTGGTTCCTTTCTTCAAAGGACAGGGTTTGAGTGAAATTAAAATAATCTGCCTGGAGTCACTGGTCTAGTGAGCAGCTCAGGAAAAAAAAACTCAGTGTCTCACCCTCCTCAGCATTTCCTGTTTGTTTTGCTTTGTATATGGGGGCCACACCTGGCCATGCTCAGGAGTCACTCCTGACTCTGTGCTCAGGAATTATTCCTGGTGGTGCTCGGGGACCACATGGAACACCAAGATCTGAATCCAGGCCGGATACGTGCCAGGCAAGAGTCCTACCCGCTGTACCAATACTCCATCCTCCTCTACCCATTTCTGATTCTGCTCTCTGTGTGAGACACTCAACTCTGTGGTTCTATAAGACCTCTTGCTGCTTTCTCTGACTCTGATAGCATTTCCTCTGGTTTTTCTGTTGCTACTTCCCCTGGGCTGACTTCATCCTATCTCAACAAGACTCAACAACCCTTCCTGGGAAATCCCTATGTCCCAAGTTGAGGCTCTATGTGTCGAAAGCCAAACTGTCTTTCTTTCTCTGAAAATCAGCCTCTTTGTCACCCAGACTCCAATCTCAAGGCAATACTCACTTTTGCCTTCTCCTACATTCCATGATACTGTGTGGATGATAGGGAGAGAAAATACCAAAAACAAAAACAATTTTTGAAAACAAGAAACAAACAAAACCCCAACAAACACTACGACATAACCAGGAGATAGAGTTTCCTGTGCTAGATTGGAATCAATTCCGTACTTTGGTAATTCTTAGGAATAATTTACATATGATTAGTGAAATGATTTTAAGTGTACAATTTGAAGATTTTGTACAAATGTACTTGTAACATCCCAAATAGTTACATTGAGTCTTTCTCCAGTCAAGACTTTTGATAATTACTGTTTTTTCTCACTATAGAGGTGTAAAAAAAACTATAAAAAACTTTAGAGAAATGGAATCTCACAGTAAATCTGTGTGTGTGTGACCAATTTCTTTTGCTCAAAATACGTTCCCTAAGATTCACTCATTTTGTTGTCACTGGTAAAAGTTTTTTCTTTATATACAGAGTAGTATTATGTGTGTGGCCATACCACATTTTATTTACCACTCACTCACCTACTGAAGGACGTACCTACTTAAGGACATTTAAGTTATTTTTGGTTTCTTTTTTTTTTTTTTTTTTGCTTTTTGGGTCAAACCCCGCAATGCTCAGGGGTTACTCCTGGTTCATGCACTCAGGAACCACTCCTGGCTGTGCTCAGGAGACCATATGGGATGCTGGGAATTGAACCCGGGTCGGGCCACGTGCAAGGCAAATGCCCTACCCGCTGTGCTATCACTCCAGCCCTATTTTCAGTTTTTTAACTATTTTGAAAAGACTGCTATGAAAACAAAAGGTGCTCTGAACATTCTTCAAGTCTCTGCAGGAATATACATTAGTCCTGAGTAAATATTGAGAAATAGAATTACTGAGACAGAAATAATTGTGATGAAATACCATCTTATGCTTCTGTTAGTCATGTAAGTGAGTTCTAATTTCCCATTTAGCCACTTTGGTAGATATTAATGATATGTTCTTGGAATTTTAATAAAAATTTTCCCATAGAATAATATTTAACATTTTTCATTAGCCTAAGTGTCTTCTTTTGGGAAGTGTCATTTCAATCTTTTGCTAACTCAGATACTTAGAATACACATATTTTATCATATAAATAATAGGCAAGCCTTCTCTTTTATTTGTGACTTATTTCCTTTTTTCTCTTAATGGTGTCCTTCAGACAGGAGAAAATAATTTTAACAAAATATATTTTTATGGATTGTACTTTTCGGATTACAGGATGTCTTTGCCTAGTCTCAAGGCCACAGAATGTTTCCCAGTTTTCATTTTGAGTTCAGTAATTCTGATTTTTGCATTCATGTCATGATTCATTTTAAGTTTTTTTCTGTATGACTGTGGTGATATCAGGGTCTGGTGGTTGCAAACTGAACCTAAGTGTACAGGAGTGAAAGGACTAAAGACCACTTGCTTTCCTTTACTCTGTTTACTATTTATCCTTATGTTTTATGCCACATAATTTCTATTATGGGCATTTCATTAAATTGATATCAATTTGGAAGCAAAGGGTATAATATTACAAGACTCAGGCTCTTGTAATTCATGAACATGATATATCTCAATGGTAATTATTTGTCCTTTAATTTCCCTCAGCAAAATTTTGCAGTGTTCAGTGTATTGGCCTGTATTATCTCATATTTGTCACTAAAGTAGTTTATTGATATTATAAATGGTATGTTCCATCATCTGTTTGCTGCTAGTACATAAAATGCCACTGACTGGCATATTGATTTTGTATCCTAAGACTTTGTTTATTAGTTTGTGACATTTTAAAAACAGATTTCTTTGAGATTTTTAGACTTAAAACTGTATTGTTTATGAATAAGGACACTTTCTTTTGGTAAGGGGTTCTCAAGCATTGCGCCAAGGCCCCCACCAATGATCCTCAGGTAGCTGGTAGCTGGGACAGTGGTTCAATGAAGGGCCTGAGGATGTTGTGCTGCTCTAGCCTTGTGGTGCAGGGGATTACCGGGTTATCCCACTGGTGCTCAGGGGTTTCTAGAACTGTACCCTGTGAAGCTCAGGGGACAATAGTGGCAATTGAGTCTGGGCACCATGCTTACCATGGTTAGTCCTAACAGATGTACTTCCTGGTCCTGAATGGACACTTTGATCTTTTCACATTTCTATCTCTGTGTGTGTATATAGTTTGCTTTTTTTTTATCTCTTGGAAGTGGCTAGGACTTCCAATTGTGAATAGAAGTTGTGAGCCATCTTTATCTTGCACCCAGACTTAGGAGAATGTTTTCAGTCTCTTTCAGTGATGTATAATGTTAGCTTAGGTTTGTTAGAGATTCTCGTTGCAATAGTTCCCTCTGTTTTTAAAATGTCACAAACTAATAAACAAGGTCTTAGGATATAATAGTTTCACTTCCTGTGGTTTCAGATCCATGGTTAACTAAATCATCAAACTAACATGTAGATATTTTGAGATCATATTTAAATAAATTTTATTGTAGCATATTGTTATAATTTCCATTATACGATTATCATTGCCATCTCTCACCATAATAAATTTATAAAATAGAATTTTATTACAGGTGTACATTATAGCAGTGTTTGATGTTATCCTTTATT